TCAGCATGGGTCGATGTTGAACCCCATAGGTCAGCAGAGGGCCTTCAAAGGCCAGTACCCAGTCAGCCTTCCAAAGTGGGGCCCACATGGCCCCAAGTGGGCACCAAACTGGGACCCATCTGTGCTGCCCACCTTGGACCCAGATGGGAATGTCATGGGCGTCCAACTGGGTCTCATCTGGGCACCCCAGACGGGGCCATGTGGGACCCATCTGGGGCCCGTATTGAGCCCGCAAATGGGCTTTCCCAGCTGGGACCCACATGGGCATATGGGACCCAGCTGGTGAGCTTTAATCCCATACCGACCCTTCAGGGCCCAACTAAATGGCAGCAGCCCTTTCCCCAAGGGGTCAGCAGCGCCGCGCCGGCGCCGGCGGCCAGGCGAAAGCCGGCCGCGCGCACTCATGATGGTTAGCGCCTAGCACCGGCGGCTAGCGCACGCCCGGTGTGTTATCGGCCGTGGGGCGCTCCAAAACGGCTGCAATAACTGGTCGATATGGTAAGCAGATGCGGAGTCAGGCGGATTGATGACCGGCAAGCTTTTGTGCTTTACACTAGAATAGGGTCGCAGTCGGTTGATAAGCGATGAGAGGATTTCGTCAGAATCCGGCTCACTACGACCGTTGCCCAGGTCCCGGTCCTCTGACGCACTCAATGGGAGCCGAATCACAGCAATAAGCCATCCACGAGTGACTGCATCTATACGCCTCACGCTTTGCTGACAACGTCTGAGTTAAGCCTTCAGCTACGGCCCGGCCGCCAGTTACCTACATGGACGTCAAACCCCTTGCGAGCCCACTTTTTGCGATAATTTTTGAATGAGTTAACTCTCGTTGACGATATTCTTGCAATGTGTGCTTCAGAACCTGCCGAAACTTGCATTACTAAGGTATTTTAACGCCAAACGAATATGAAAGGTACGTACTTCTCATTCACTCCTAATGTTGAATTTCACGGAACGAATCTGCTGTTTGGGTAAATGCTACGTGTTCATGGGGCGGAGCCACGTAATGACGTCAGCGCTATGCTCCGTCCTACCTACCCCTCCGGCGCTCCTTGCCCGGCGACCGGTCACTCGCGTCTCGCGCTCCATCCAGGCTTGATGGTGCGCGGCCGCCAGCTCTGTAGCGTACCTGCTCATTAACCCGCGAGTTGCTGGGGGGGGGGGGGGGCGTTAAACGCCCCCACTTTTTTTGCCGGGCCATAGCATAAAAACGACGGGCCGCAGGCGCGCCAAATTTTGGGTACCTGTAGGGAATTGATTGAAGTTTATTGTTACAAAGTTTCAAAAAAATCGGTCGGAAAATTTTGAGATATCGAGGTTTTAGTGACTTCATGATTTCTGAGTTTTCGACCAAAAACGGCATATGTTCAAAAAATCATATAAAATCACAGAATAGACATACAGACATGCCGTAAACGCCATTAGACTACCAATACCATGAACAATCAAATGGCTATCTTCGATTATTGATTATCGTTCCGCATTTTCAAAAATGTTGAACTGAATCTTGGCAATTTCTCGTGACTACTTCACGACCATGATACATGAATTTCTTAAATTGAACTTTTTGAGCCAAACACGTACACATATGATAAAATGAATGTCATCATCGTGTTCTACGCCCAAAATTACCCATAAAACATGTGTCACAGGCTGCGAATATCAGTTTTGATTTTTGGGGATATGTGCCTACCCGGTTGACCTGACCTTGACCCTGACCTATGCTTGACTGACCCCTACATGGAGCTGACACTCTTGTAGGCCTTATATGATGGATTGTGAACCGTTTTGACAGAGTTTATGACGAGAGGCGCCCATTGCGAAGTCCTGAAGTCAATGCTACTGAAAGCCCGATTTCAGGTGTTTGACCTGACCTTGACCCGACCTGTGACCTCAAAATTCAACTTTAAAGTACTCATTTGAAGCGTCTCGTCGCGTTCTTTCGTTTGCCGCCTCGTGCGTTTCGCTGCGCCTATTGGTTCTCGAGTTATCGGCTGGGGGCGTTTAACGCCCCCCCCCCCCCACCCCCAGCAAACGGTGGGTGGCGAAATACCCCAGCAACTGCCGGGTTAAGACATTAAGAGTAGATGGCGCTGGTGGCGGGGCTCGAGTATGGCCGAACACAAGCCTCTGCCCGGGCCTGAATTGACCTGAATTGTGAAAGAGAAGTACCTTTCATAATCGTTTGGCGCCAAAATACCTTAGTAATTAAAGTTTCGGCAGGTCCTCAAACACACATTGCCAGAATATCGTCAGCGAGAGTTAACCCTCGCCGGACCTATTGGTTTTCTACATACGCGCCGGCATAGGGGGGGGGGGGCAGGTCAAGTGCCCCAAGGTACGGTTCATTTTTTTTTTAGTCTGACCTCTCTCCAACGGGCTCTTTGTCCCAATTATAGGAGAGAGCACCTGCTCCTCCCGCCGTCCCCAGGCTACGGCTGAAGTGGGAGCCTACCCCACACCTGGTGACGCGGCCGGGGACGACGCCCGCGGAACGGGCGGAACCGGGAATCGAACCCGAAACCCGGCACCGCCCGCACCGCGGGCCGACGCCTTAGCCGACTGCGCCACCAGGGCCGCAATACCAGGGCGTTTTTGGTGAATAACTTCACAAAAAACGGCCGCAGAGCCGCGATTTTGGCAGCATCGTGTTCGCCTTGCTCAGGCGCGTCGAATGATATACTTTTTGTTCGGGTCAGGTCAACTTAGGGTGTTGACCTCAGGTCAAGGTCAGGTCAGCGCCCCCAGGTCACGAAGTTGGTCGAAAGAGGTCATGTTGCATATCATTCGATTCGGCAGGTCTTACTGAGTCCATTGGTGACTTTCCCGACTCGCTAGCTCAATTTGATCGGGAGTTATTGACGAAAAACTAATATGACCTTGATGACGTCATAAATGACGTCACGCAAGGTCAACATTGCAAAAGTGACGCATCTAACCTTGCAAGGAGTGCATCAAATCACGATTCTGTGTGCTTGAGATAGTTTGAGATCGTTCCCGGCGCCAGAATAGCAGTTTTCATTTTTCCCCATTGACTTATAATGGTGAGGTCACGAAAATGACCTGACCTCATATGACCTTTAGGAAAAATCCGAGATATACAAGTTGTGAGACTTATAATGGATACTAGATCCTGCAAGTTTCATTTCCCTGTGACATCTCCTCTGGCAGTGAGGGCGTTGCGAAGTTGCGACATCTGAAGACCGTGCAGAGGTTCACTTATGACGTCATAGGTCAGTGACCTGACCTGACCCAAAAATGCGGTTGGTGTCAAAAACTCCGGCTTGAATCAAAGGTCAGGTATGCTACTATGGACGTCAAACCCCTTGAGACCCCACATTTTTGCGATAATTTTTAAATGCGTGAGCTCTCGCTGACGATATTCTGGCAATGTGTGTTTCAGAACCTGCCGAAACTTTTATTACTAAGGTATTTTGACGCCAAACGATTATGAAAGGTACTTCTCATTCACTCGTAATGCTAAGGTCAATTCAGGCCCGGGCAGAGGCTTGCGTTCGGCCATACTCGAGCCCCGCCACCAGCGCCATCTGCTCTTAATGTCATCTACCAGCGCCCGCTACCGCTACCAGCTACCGCCCACCATCAAGCCTGGATGGAGCGCGAAACGCGAGTGACCGGTCACCGGGCAAGAAGCGCCGGAGGGGTAGGGCGGAGCTTAGCGCTGACGTCATTACGTGGCTCCGCCCAATGAGCGCGTAGCCTCTACCAAAACAGCAGATTCGTTCCGTGAAATTTAACATAACGAGTGAATGAGAAGTACCTTTCATAATTGTTTGGCGTCAAAATACCTTAGTAATAAAAGTTTCGGCAGGTTCTGAAACACACATTGCCAGAATACCGTCAACGAGAGTTAACGCATTAAAAAAGTATCGCAAAAAAGTGGGGTCTCAAGGGGTTTGACGTCCATAGTAGGTTTCAGCTCTTTATCGCCAGCGCGTTCGGAGCTATCGCGAAAAAACCCTATGGGGGGGGGGGGCGGCACCCCCGTCGGCCAGCGAGGGTTAACGCAATTAAAAATTATCGCAAAAAGTGGGGTCTAAAGGGATTTGATGTCCACAGCAGGATCTTAAAATTGTGTATCATCGGCTTGTTTTCGTCACCAACGGACCCCTCCCCTCCCCCTCCACACGTTTGCGGCTGGCAAAACACCAATAAGGGCTACGGTCAATATCTTTTGCCCTCTGTGTGTGAGCAGACGGCTGCGAGTTGACCCGACCTTGTTACACTGACGAATTTCGGTAGGTACACGAATGTGCACGAATATGCAAGTCATCCTACGTCGCGGACCGATTCGGATTCGATTTAGGAGCCCCCCCCCCCCCACCCGTTTTCTTCCAATCGGACTTTGTCGGCGAACTGTTCGCCGATTTCCTACACGACGTGATTCGGCGACAGGGTCGTGGCCAAATTAAGGCCGTGTTACACTGCCGAATTTTGGTCACGACCCTGTCGCCGAACCACGTCGTGTAGGAAATCGGCGAACAGTTCAACGACAGAGGCGAACAGTTCGCCGACAGGGCCCGATTTGCAGAAAACGGGTGGGGGCCCCCCTAATCGTGCGCGGGTCAAAGCTGATCCATGATTCGGCGAACATCGCGAATGAATGGCGAATCTGTTGCGAATAGTCGGCGATACCTTGGCAACAAGTCGGCGCACGCAGCGACATGTCGGCGGCGACTCGGCAACTGTTTGGCGATCATGTTCGTTTATTATAAGTTCGGCGAACGGCCACGAAAATTTCATTTTTCATGAAATATTCGTGGTGGTCGTGACGAACCGTAAAAGTCGCGCGGTGGACACCGACTGGTCTGCGAAATGCCAAGACATTGGAGGAAAGATTCCCGAATCGGTCCGCGACATAGGATGACTTGCATATTCGTGCACATTCGTGTACCAAAATTCGGCAGTGTAACAAGGGCTTAACACGGCCTAATAACACGGCCTTAACACAGCCTACGCAGCGTTCCGTTACTTACTATCCAGGGGAACTCTGCCTGACGGGCCTCCACGCCGCCGACAATGCGGTCCTGGTCGGAGCCGGCCTGGTGGCTGCTGCGGCCGCACTGGCCGAACGGGCCGGTGCCGGCCACCGCCGCCGCGCCGCCGCCGCCGCCGCCGCCGCCGCCGCTGGCGGCAGTGCTGCTGCTGCTGCTGCTGCTGCTGCTGCTGGTGGAGGTGGTGGCGGTGGTGGTGGTGGTGGTGGTGGAGGTGGTGGTTGTCTGCCACCAGGCGGTGGTGGTGGGACCACGCCGCGTGGTGGTGGTGGTGGTGGCCGTGGTGCTCTCGGTAGGGCCGGCACTGCTCTGCCACCAGGCGGTGCTGGTGGCAGCGGCAGTGGTGCTCGAGCTCCCTTGCCACGGGTGCGTTATCATCGGTGGGATAGTTGGCACGCTCGGACGCGGTCGCGTCGTGGTGATGGCAGTGGTGGTGGTGGTGGCGGCGGATTGGTAGGTCGTCTGCCACCACTGGGTGGTGGCCGGCCGGCTAGTGCTGGTGCTGACTCGCTGTGTGGAGGCCGGCCGGCTAGTGCTGGTGCTGGTCGTCTGTGTGATCTCAGAGAAGAGGCCCGGGCAGCAGACGCCGCGCAAGAGCGGCCGCCGCGCGCCATCACCAGCAGTCCGGCAGGCTGTCGGCCGGGGGTGGCTGCCGGCCGGCAGACTGCGGCTCCAGTAGCAGACTGTGCGGACCACGCACCGCCCCAGACTGTGAGCACACCAACCGACCGCGTCAGCCACTGAACAGTCAGACCACCACCACCAGCACGGGCTGCACAGCCACCAGGTGGTATATGGCATACAGAGACCACAGCAGACCACAGAGACCACCACAGAGTCACAGACCACAGCAGACCACAGAGACCAGAGTACAGAGACCACCACAGACGACAGCAGACCACAGAGACCAGAGTACAGAGACCACCACAAACAATAGTAGACTACAGTACAGAGACCACCACAGACCACAGCAGACCACAGAAAGCAGAGTACAGAGACCACCACAGACTGCAGAGCCCACCACAGACCACATATCAATCAATCAATTTATTGAAGATCCCAGCAAAGGGAGAAGACATCTGACATATTGAAATGTTATTGAATCATCATATTGAATTGAATAAAAAAACATATTGAAATGACATGATACACCAGTAAAACGCCTTTTGGGGCGACCAACGGAGCGAGCGAAAGGGTGAGCCTTCTACGTGCGAAATTGCGGGATGGTACAGGTCACCGCTGAAGTGATGTGCGGTATTCGTGGCGGCTGGGGTTTGGATCTGTATCTTAGGACCTATTTGTCCGACTGCCATGATATTTGGAATGTAGCTTACAAGTGCCGAGATCTTTTCAGCTGCAATCTCGTCTTTTGCTGTCTACCTCTAGATCACTCCGTATTTTAAAATCGTCGGTCAGAGCCATCTGTTGAGGAGGTTCGTAACTAAAATCCTGATTACGCCACTGATGCCCCAGCCACGTGATTCGGCAGCGAACCAATTCTTGTAGACAGCATGAATGGTGCCAGGTGCCCTTGCGTCGAGGCTAGCGCTTCTCGGTTGTGGCATGACCGAGAGTCGGGTCGCAGAGCGAGGTCAGTGGGGTGAGCCTCGTCAACCGCCTCCGGGCTAGCGCGGCGGTGCGCTGAGCAGCGCGGGTCTGGCAGCGGTTCCTCTGCGCGAACGAGCGTGTTGATGATTCTTTCTGGGTAAATACGGAATGCGTTCATAGCTGTGCTATTCACGATGCCGTACAAATGAAAAGGGCAGGATGCATGGCCACCACAGCACGACAGGTGTTTCCGCAGTTTGCACATCGGTTCTGACGAGGTCACATCAATAACGACTCACAAGCCAGTTATGACGTCGAATGACCTAACTTATAATTATGGATGATGAATGAGACCCATTTACCTACATAAAAAGGAATTTAAAGATTTCGATAAACAAACACATGATTGAGTAATTAAGTTATCTTGATATGATTGACCAATAACTGATGACTGAGTGGTAACGAATGTCGATGACATTAAAAGTGCATATAAGATCAAACAGTCAGTGGAAAATAGAAGGATCCGATTGGGATCGAACCCAAATGCTCTCAAACTATAGCCCGACGCTAAACCAGCCCGCCACGGAGACACTGTGAAGCCGTGAGCATAGTCGCTATGTGGCATTCTATGTGGTGAGCGATTTAATCAGCATGACATGACCATGCCGCCTACGGCGCACCGGGCCAGTCGGCCGGGCCTGCGGCGAGGCCAGTCACGTGACCAGTTGGCGGTGAGGGACGGACCCCGTCCTGTAAATGCAGGGGAGGAGTCGAGGAGAGGCCGGGGGAGGCGGTCACCGTCCTTTGCGATGACAATAGACGTGTGGTCAAAGAAAGCCGTCCCACCCACAGACGATGTTATGAATATTGTTAAAATTGCAAAGCGGCAAACTCATCAGAACATGAGTGGTGCAAATCATTCAGGTTTTTCATTTTGTATCTCAGCTGTGACCGTATGTGGCCGATGACCCACTGCAATAATTAAAGAAATGAAAGTGTGGCTGCAGTTGTATTGCACCTGTGCATAAATGCAAATTATGAAAATTATTGGCTTCTTGGCTTTATAGTTATATCATAGTGTAATAAATAACAAGTGAAGACACTTCACCAATTTATAATGCAAACTCATGTAACAACTTTTCTTCAGCTGGTCCTTTGATGGTTTTAGAAGTAGAATAAACTTTAGTAAAAGACATAAAACCGCGTTCATGAGGTTGTGATCATTATTCAAGTCAGACCGGTTTCGTTCCACAGTGAGAACATCTTCAGTGACAATATAAACAGATATGTAAGTTACATGTTTTGATGGGATGATTACCCTGACACGATATCGATATCGTGTCAGGGTAATCATCCCATCAAAACATGTAACTTACATATCTGCTTATATTGTCACTGAAGATGTTCTCACTGTGGAACGAAACCGGTCTGACTTGAATAATGATCACAACCTCATGAACGCGGTTTTATGTTTTTACTAAAGTTTATTCTTCAGCTGGGAGTAGGCTATGTAGCTACTCACGCTTTAGTATGACGTAACAAAACGTCGTAAAACGTCAGTGAATCATTGAACGCTATCCTCAGCCCACATCATCGGTTTCCTTCCATGCCCCGTCATGTTGGATTCTTAAATTGACATAGACATGAAAACCCACGTTTTTTATTCCACTAAATGAAAATAAATAGTCCTAGTTTCTTACAGAATGCCTTGGAATAGACAAAATCAGAGGACATCGATATGCCAAAGCCCGATGAAAGTCCTACTCGATCTAACTGCGCTCCAACATGCTGAACATCGTAACAGCATTAATTATATTCCGTAACGTTTCTCTCGAGAACCCACTGTTTTTATTGCATGTATGGTCGCTTACTGAATGCAATTTAACAGAACCGGTATGAAAATATTGAAAAATAGAGGATATCATAAGACCACCGGCTCCTAAAAAGTGTAGGGTATTTTGACGTCTCTAAACATGACTCATTTTGACCTTTGATGACATGGACCCATGTTTTTTATTGCATTTGATGACAGAAAATAATCACATATTTTATAAAATGCGTGAAAATATGCAAAAACAGATGACATCGATGTGCCACAGCCCGATGAAAGTCCTACTCGATCTAACTGCGCTCCAACATGCAAAACATTGTAACAGCATTCACTCCATTCCGTAACGTTACTCTCGAGAACCCACTGTTTTTATTGCATGTATGGTCGCGTACTGAATGTTTGCAAGTTGTGTAGGCATTGTGGCCTGTCCAGTGTTCATACGCCATACCCATTCTGCCATTCTGGCATAAAGAAGAACTTCTTAGCTTATAAAGATATGTAGTAAAAACAGGTTTTTTGTCTTGTTCACCAACTCATTAAGTTTATGTGGTATTTCATTTCAAGTTGCGTGTAGAGGTAGGTGTTCATTGTCAGTGTTTTGTCGTGAATAAAAGTGAATTAGTTGTTAAAGCCAACACTTATATAACTACAAGCTTGGCTAGTAGTTTCTAGGATTAGAAGTTTTCACTACAGGGATGAAACTTTTGCACTACAATGACGAAAACTTCATCAATCGTCATGGGTGAGACTAAATGCTTACTTCAAAATCTAAGCTGTGTTGCGGCATTGGCGGTTATGTGCGGCGTGTATGCCGCATGATTAGTAAGCGTCGACCACTAAATTAAAGACTTAAACGCTCCAACCTGTTTTCAATGAATAACACTGCATACCAAAAATGCCAATCGCTCTCGTAATAAGATATTTAGATTTAGATAACTAAGTTATCTGCATCATCATCTTGAACCAAATTAATGCTTTTAACTGAGTACTCACTCATTCCTTCCTTCGTTGGCTCCAAACAGTCTTTCGATTGTCGGGAAATCGTATGCCAAATCCCGCACCTGTATACGACTGGTGCATATAAAGGCCGATGTAAGAATTTCAATAGGCTCTCGCATGCGATTTCCTGGCTACCCAAAAAGTCTGTTTCAGTCATGCTATCAAAACATGGTTTATTACATGGCTCCTGTGTTAATTTGGCATGAGATATTTTTTTACTATTGCCCGGCATCAGGTTACTGACCTTTCAGTGTCAGGTTACTGACCTTTCTGAAGGTGAGAAGCGGTTGCCATGTCAACGGTCAATAGTAAGTTGCTCGCGCAGTGGTGTTTGAACAAAAATTCAAATGTCGTAATTTTATCGTCGTTTTCTCAGACTGTTCAGTTTGATTTCGTGATTGGCTAGTCAAGTCATCTAGAACTGGGCCGTCATTTGAACATGTCCGTTCAAATGCCCCGATTTAATTTGTTGGAGCCGCATGAATTGGATGAGCTATTTTCATCGCGCAGGGCTCAGGGCACTAAAAAGGTGATTAAATCAGCAGAAGACGTCTTCATTGAGTTCTTACAAGTAAAAGGCATATCTGTTGAAAGCTGCATGCACAGCAACGATGTCCTGGACAACGCTGTGAAGGAGTTCTTCATTACTGTAAAACGCAAGGACGGCGAACGCTACAAATCGAAGTCTCCACACTCTCAAGTACCTACGGCGTGAAACAGAAAACAGAAACAGAAAACAGAAAAAACAACTAAGTGTGTGCCGTAGACATGTGACGTGGCTATGATTATATATCCAATACATTCAATTGTACCATGATATTTGTGTTTGGATATTTTTTTATTACGGGATGAATGAGTAGGTACTAAGTAAAGATTCCGAGAGTTGGCCATGTAATAAAACGAATACTGCATGGGGGAGCGGGCAATAGCAAAAATATTGCCCTCTGTAACGTCACTGTCGCCCTCGGGTGAAGACCTCCACAAGTGCTATTGCCCTCGGCTTCGCCTCGGGCAATAGCACTTGTTCCGGTCTTCACCCTCGGGCGACAGTGACGTCACATCGGGCAATATTTTTTGCTATTGCCCGCTCCCCCATGCAGTATTCGTATAATGTCAGCCCTGTCACCAGCTTATGACTGCTCTGCTTGTAGTGCCCCTGACCGTCACCGACTCCCTTCCCTCCTTAAAAGCCTAGTTTCCCTCCATCATCTCTACTAGATTTAGGTGATGCTCCGACAAATTCACAAACAAGACCGAACTTGTTCGGAGTTCGGACTGTGAGTTAACCCTCGCCCTTGGGGGGGGGGGGGTCGAACGGACTCCCCTCGGTT